TGTATATGCAGTACAGCATGCTTGCTATTATTATATAGAATTTATATAGCACCAACAGTTTGCTCAGCATGTTACACTATAAAGGGAGACAATATAGCAACAATACAGTTCAATACAAGAGGGCCCTGCTCCTTTAAGCTTACAATCTAAGAGAGATGGATATCTTCTGTGTTTTACACATTATGTATAAAGGCTGTTTGATCATTCCCTTCTGCTACTGTCCTCAATCTTTTTTTTTTTCTTTGGGAGGGTACATATGATCAGCACAGGGCCAATCAGCACTGCCCAGTCAGAGGGTCAGGGGGATATGGAGCCTCATAGGACAGTCACAGTAAAATGAAAACCCCTCCTACAAGCTTTAACCAGTGCTCAGCTGGACACTGACATAAGTCACAAGACTGCTGATTAGGAAAGGTATTTAGCAGTTTATATTTACTAAAATAATTGCATTTCCCTGTTCTGTGTACTGTGGGAGACCAAATATAGTGAATCCAGGGTCCTGGGTTTAGTAACACCTTAAAAGTTGAATGGTAGCACATTAAAGTAAATCTCCAGAATTATTTTTTAAGTTCTAGACTAAATGGAGAAATGTTAGCATCTTCGTCAGTCTTTACTGTGTTTTTCTTCCTGTTCTGCTGAAAAGTTGTCACTAGGACAGGGGTGGGCAAACTTTTTGACTTGAGGGCCACAATGGGTTCATATATTGGACCCGGGGGCCGGACCAAGAGTAGATGAATGATGTGTATGTGTCCTCCATAGTAAGTATATAGTAATATTCCCCCATAGTAATTAATCCCCCATAGTAATTCATCCCCCCTATAGTAATTCATTCCCCATAATAAGTCCCCAAGTCCCCCCTGTGTCAATTCACTTACCTTTGCTCCGCGCGTTCCTCTCGCCGTGTTCCCGCGCCGTTCCGGTGTAGCATGAAAATCTGTCTCCTATGAGGATCTGTCCCCCTTGACGTATCTGCGCATGTGCCAGTTTCAGGCATTAGCAGCCGATCGGCGATCTCCGGCACATGCGCAGATACGTCGAGGGGGACAGATCCTCATAGGAGACAGATTTTCATGCTACACGGCGGACTGTGAGAGAAGCCTAGCGGGAGCCTAGCTCCGCGGGCCGGATTAAAAGGTCCGCCGGGCCGTAGTTTGCCCATTGCTGCACTAGGACAAGAAGTGTAGAGAAATCTTCAAGAGGAACACAGTACGCAATAAATGTGCTTTGTTTTAGTAGAACAGAGGAAGGCTAAAGGAACCCATTTTAATGGTTTTGTATGGTTGGAGATTTTCCACTCCCTGTCAGGGTGACAAGGTTATCCCTGGACAGGAAGTGAGGAAAAATTTTCCAAAAGAGGTGTTAGCAATAAAAAACAGACAGAGGTTATTCTCTTCCCCATTCTATCCAAAACTAAACTGAGTGAGGGAACAACTCCTATATCCACATAAACTGCTATTAAAACATAAATATTCTAGATTTTTTTTTTCCATTTCATTGGGGTACAAAGTACCAAGAGCAAAGTACACTTTGCCTACAGGAGTATTGATTATATAGTCCATCATCCTACACAGTCTTTTCAGGCTGCTGCTGGTCAGTTTTATATCAAGTTTTGTTTTTTCCGTAGTGTTTTGTCAATGCAACATGATACTTATCAGGAGCCCATGCCTGCTTTAAAATAAAAGAAGCTTTATTACAAATGTTAAAGTCACAATACAGCATCCATATTGATATTGTGATCTTAAAGCATAACTCCAGGTTTCAAGCAACTTTGGTTCATTTTGAACAAGCTGGTCCAAACAAATTGGTTCATTAACACATGCTCCTGCTGGGTGTGCTGTATAAACTGTATGTAATATCAGCTATATACAGGGCTGTGTTCCAAAAGCAGCATGGGGACTTCCTTTCCCTCTCCCAGAAAAAAAAATTAAATCTGGCTGTGGTTCTCATCCATTCATAGGAAGCATTGTATTTCACCAATGAATAAAAGGCTTCCTCTGAACGGCTAATGTGGAGATTGTGACATCATCCACCCATCTCTCCACATCAGCCAATCAGAGGAAGCTTTGTATTCACTGATGAAATGCAATGCTTTTGGTGAATGGCTGAGCAGCGCTCAGCCTCAGTCCGACTCAATTTTGTTCTGACAGTTGGATGGGAACTTCCCTTCTGGCTCCCAGAACACATTTAGCTGATGCTACCTATAGTTTATACAGCACTCCCAGCAGATGCACCTGCTAGTGAAGCAGCTTGGTATAAACAAATTATTTACAATCACAAGAAATCGGGAGTTAGGCTTTAACAATTTTAATTTACACATCCAAGAGACACCGCTTCAGCTTACATCACCCATAGTAATGATTGGCCGTACACTATCTTTAAGCTGGTATATGTTGTGCTTATGCAAACTTGCACACGTGTGAAAATCCTTGAATGTGACTTTTGAAAATCCAGGGATGCACACAAGTTTGCGCAAGCACAGCGTATATCCACATACAGTTAGTATACAACGATTACTATGGGCGACTGTATACCGCAGGTGTAAAAATACAGCTGCAATTGATGTTGGATGCCTGTGCGTGTTCATGAGGCCTAAGCAACTCTCCAGACATTACAAAGAGTAATTGAGGGGTGGCCTGGAAAGTCACTATTTACTGAGCCAACTCTATTCTGTTTAGAAATACAAAATGGTAACACAAAATAAATACATAGTCAAATATAGTAACAAAGACAATTAAATAGACTATATATTTTAATATAGCGTAACAATTTATTAGTAACAACAACCTAACAGATTATGAGGATTGACAATTTCACAAATGTTGTGGTGAATCAGTATGTCCATCCACAAGTATTTGTGAACACTTACTGTCTCGGTGGGCAGCAGATATTGTGATTTATAGATTTACAGTATCTTCTGTTGACTCAGTAAACATGCGAATATGCGAATGTTGAGTCACCCTCGAGCCTTCATATTCATTGATGGAAACAATCGTTTTCCAAACAAAGAATGCCCTGATGACCTCTGCTTCTAGAAATTCTAGTTACCTGGCAGTCATATAGGACACAGAACAAGTAGGCAGATAAGGGTGTATATGACTTTCATTATCTGCCTACTTATTCTGGGTCAGTGACTCAAATTGGTGAGGCCAAGTAGGTCAGCATACCAACCAGACAACAAGCATTTTAGAAGGCTGGCAATAAAAACTCTTATTTCTCTCTGGAATTGTTTACTTTAACATTGGTCTTTTTTTCTAAGTGTCTCCAAGAGTTATGTTGTCCAACAGCAACCAATCAGATTAAGGGATATACAGTTGTGCTCACAAGTTTGCATACCCTGGCAAAAATTGCGAAAATGTGGCAATGAAATTGAAAATATGACTGATCATGCCAAAAAACTTTTATTTAAGGATAGTGATCATATGAAACCTTTTATTATCACATAGCTGTTTGGCTCCTCTTTACAATCACCCAAATGGCCCTGATCAAACGTTTACATACCCTGGAATGTTTGGTCTTGGTACAGACACACAAGGTGAAACACAGAGGGTACAATGGCAATTAAAGGTTAATGTCCCACATCTGTGTTTTTTTTAAATTACAATTAGTATCTATGTATAAATAGTCAATGAGTTTGTTAGCTCTTACATGGATGAACTGACCAGACTAGATACTGAGCCATAGGGAGCAGAAAGGAACTGTCAAAAGTGACCTGCGTAACAAGGTAATGGAACTTTATAAAGATGGAAAATTATATAAAAAGATATCCAAAGCCTTGAATATGGCATTCAATACTGTTCAATCACTTAATAAGAAGTGGAAAATTTGGGGATCTCTTGATCAAGGTCAGGTAGACCAAGAAAGACTACAACCACAACTGCCAGAAGAATTGTTAAGGATACAAAGAAAAAAAAAAAAAAAAACACAGGTAACCTCAGGAGAAATACAGGCTGCTCTGGAAAAAGACATTGTGGTTATTTCAAGGAGCCACAATACCAGGATACATGGAACAAAAATTAGCTGAATGACAGAAAGAAGCCTTTACTGCACCAATGCCACAAAAAACCTGGATACAATACCAGCAGGACAATGATCCTAAGCACAAGGCCAAGTAACCCAAGTTACAGCAGAAATAGGTGAAGGTTCTGGAGTGGCCGTCACAGTCTCCTAACCTTAATATCATTGAAGCGATCTGAGGAGATCTCCGATATGCAATCCATGCAAGACAGCCAAAGACCTGGAGGCATTTTGCCAAGATTGGGCAGTTGTAGCACCTGCAAGAAATTGAGGCCTCATAGACAACTATTATAAAAGACTGCACACTGGTCAGATCGGGTGCGAATTGGCATGTGATTTGCATGCTATGTGACTTGCAAATCGTATGCCAAGTCGCACCCTATTGTCAGCTATTAGAGTGGTCATATCGGTGCGGTTCCGACTTGGTGCATGCACTACTTTTGGTGCGATTTGCATAGACATCTGTGTCAGATGTCTTGCAAATCGCACCTCAAATCAGCAACTCACCCGACTTTGAAATTGTGCGACTTCACTGTAAGTCACACGATTTCAAAATCAGCTTTGATGTGAAGGGGGTGTAAAGGGGGCAATGCATAGTATTAAGAACTAAGGGTATGCAGACTTTTAAACGGGGGTCATGTCATTTGTTTACTTGTTGCCATGCTTTGCTTTAAGATTGTGCCATTCTGTTATGACCTACAGTTGAATATGAATTCCATAAGAAATCAATGAAATGTGTTTTGCCTGCTTACTCATGTTTCCTTTAAATTGCTGTACATTACTAGTTCTCCAAGGGTGTGCAAACGTTTGAGCACAACTGTAACCGTTGGGATCTGAAAGTGTGAAACTCATTGGATGTTGGGGGACAATACAGTTCTTATGTCTGACGTTAATAAATGAGGACTCCTGTGATGATATGACAAAGTAAATAAGAAGCATGTTCTCTGCAGAATGGAGAATCATTTGCTGCTTGATGAACTAGCGAGTTACATGTTCTTCATCTGAGCCATGAGCTCCTCCAGACTCTGCTCTGAGTCCTCCACAGTAACTCCTGATGTGGGTTTCTGAAGACAGAATCACAAACATATTTCATGAATAAAACTATCTACACTTTCCATAACTTATATTCAGTATTAATAATATTCACGAGGGGGCACAAAAAGAATAACCAAAACAGTTTCATGTTTCAACTCTAATTGAGGGCCTTATCTGATAATAAGGTTCTCTATTCAATAATGTACCACCACAGTAAAGGGCCCTGATGCAGAAGAATTGCCAGACCCTATTATTAAAATAAATCCTTTGGCTTAGTGTGAATGTATGCCTTTGATTAGCTACTAGAGGACATAGCATGCAGCCTGCTTATAGTGGAATGATTCTTGTAACCTCACACGGTACCAATGAAAGTAACAGGGACTGATGGAAACTTTTATACATTTACAGATTTCCAACACCAGGGAACTTTCTAGAAAGCAAGCTTTAAAGGCTAACTCCACCCCTGTCCCTCAGCATATGTTCAAGACTCCTTCCACACACCTGCATCATTCATTCACAGAGATCTGTGAATGAATGAACTACAAATCCCAATTCTCATTTCAGCAGTAATTCTCAATGGAATACAAATGCCTTTATCACCGCTATCATAGTCCACTAACATTTACTAAAACTAGCTCTTTGGCTAAATGGATACAGGCAGGGAACTGGAGGAAGAGTTTTCAGGGGCTTGATATTGTACAGGCAGGGAACTGGAGGAAGAGTTTTCAGGGGCTTGATATTGTACAGGCAGGGAACTGGAGGAAGAGTTTTCAGGGGCTTGATATTGTACAGGCAGGGAACTGGAGGAAGAGTTTTCAGGGGCTTGATATTGTACAGGCAGGGAACTGGAGGAAGAGTTTTTCAGGGGCTTGATATTGTACAGGCAGGGAACTGAGTTTTCAGGGGCTTGATATTGTACAGGCAGGGAACTGGAGGAAGAGTTTTGCAAAAGGCAAACTGGAGGAAGAGTTTTAAATGAATGCGCAATCCATCAATTTTTGCAGACCCCATCAAAAAAATAAATGTACATCTTTTTTCCCCCATATATGTACATTTATATATATATATATATATATATATATATATTTAATAAAGATAAACTGAGCCTTTAATAGCAGCAGTTTTTACACCCTGCACATCCAATGGCCCAGTTCCCAGTAACATGTACATTTGCAGTACTGGTTTTCTTGGTGTGATCTGAGTAGCAGAAGCACCTGACAATTCTATCACACTTTGACACAGGATACGCCATCTCTGTCTATGCTTATTTGCACATCCTCCTGGTGACTGATGTGGAGGCAGGCTTTCCATGGAGTTATTGGGCTTTTATGGCCACTCTATAATTTGAGGGTCATATCCATTTGGTAAACTGCATGGCTCTACCACCTGATGTGCAGTGTTTTACATCTCACAGAATTGGTGTTGGGATCCTAGCCTTTGGATGAAGAGTTTGCATTATTTTTTTTTTCCATTTATAGACTTAATATATGGATTTTATCAATACCACCTAAGCCCTGCATCAGAATACCCTTTACTTTGTATTTGTTGATCAAACAAGTTTATGCTGGCTGCTTTAGGGTGGTTTATATAAGTCAAACAAAAAAGAAAAATTCCCAGCTCTAACTTGCCAGCCAGCCTGCAAACAAACCAAATTAACCTGTCTATGTGCCTCTACTATGGAGGCTCTTAAAATTGGAGAGTTAGGAGCTACAGAATATCAGGGTGTCGTGATGAGGCTCTGTAGCTTACGCATGTTTTTGCAAATGTGTGCTAACTAAACCCGTTTTTAACGCATACTGTTAGGTTAATTCGGTTTGTTTGCAGGCTGGCTGGCAAGTTAGAGCTGGGAATTTTTCTTTTTTGTTATTTGACATGCGTCACCCTTCCATGTGCTCCTTGCTGTGAAGGCCAGTTATAGACTGGGGAAGTGACCAGTTTTTTGTATAGTATGGTTAATCGAAGCCCAGTGAATATTTTTGTGTTATCACATTTATCACAATAGCTTTAAAGTGGAATTCCAGGCTACTGCCAAACTATGATTAAACCTGCTCCCATCCCCCTTCTAAATACTATTCTAACTGTGAAAGGAAGATGCTTTCCTGTGAAAGGAAGATGCTTATACTTACCTATTCTGAGGATGCTCAAGTCCGGTCATGTAATCTCCCTAGTGACTGACTTCAGGAAAGAGGCGAGATCGCTGACAAAGGCTGAAATGCTTGGGTGGAGACGACAACCATAGACTTACTATGGGGCATCAGTTGTCGGCTGTCCCTCCTCTCCCCTGAAGTCGCCACTGGGAGCTGATCCCATTACTGGACCAGAGAGCCCTCAGAATAGGTAAGCATAAGCATCTTCCTTCTACAGGGTAGTTAGAATAAACTTTTGAAGGGGGTGGAAGCAGGATTAGGCATAGTTAGGTAATGGGCTGGAATTCCACTTTAAGACTGAATATTTGGACTCCCTAAAAATTCTAGTCTTCACTCAGAAGTCAAGAATGGTTTGGTTGTTTTACATTTGTCAGTTTGGCAAGTTTTCATTTAAATCACACTAAAAGAACCATTTATTGCTCCTGTCTGTGCATTTAAAAAGTATCTTCAAAGCAGTAAATTGATACATACCGTAACAGGAATTGTGTATGCTACAGTGATTCCCTCTGGTAGAACAGGGACAGGTCCAGAAGCCTCCTTCAACTCTTCTTCAGAAACCTCAGATACTAGCTCAATTCCTAGAAGTCAGATTACAGTTAACTGTATTAGAAATAAATTGTTGTTTCTGCTTCAGCAAGATCACAGTCAGTGCTGGTAAAATACACTAATAAAAGAGAGGTTTTTGTATCCAAATATGTACACATCTTACAGATATCAAACAAAAGAAATGTGGAATAGTTGCAAACTATCTCTCAGTAAATCATCTATCTTCACACTGTTCAGAACATATTCTACATGTTAGCTTAAAGCAACCCTATCAGCTTAGCAATCAAGATCAGCACTGAAGAATTTGATTAGTTTTGGATGTCTGTGTCCCCTGCCACATGCCCTACTTCCATTGTCCAAACCCTACATCGCTGAACAGGTTCACTTAACGTCTTCCCTCCCCAACAGCACATACCTTTCTTTCACTCTCCTGCCTAAGAGGAATACTTGGTGCTTGTAGGTATGGTAAATGTGACTGGATTGCTCAGTGATGTAACTGCACTTTTACATGGGACTGTAACAACTTGGAGTTTACAAAACCTTAAACCAATTGTAAAAGCGATTTTTAAAAAAATAATGAACAGGTTTATACCTTCCTGCTATGTGCAAAGGTATTGCACAGAGCTGCCCCTTAATGCTTCTTTTGAGGTCCCCCACTGGCATTCTCCTCTCCCACGTATGCTTCCATAGCAAGCCGCTTGCCATGGGGGCACACATCCAAGCCAGGCTGTCTGCATCCGCAGACACACAAAGCATGGCTTGGCTCTGCCCTTCATTCCCTGCTCAAGGGATATGACTGAGAGCAGCAGGAGCAAATGGCTCCCACTGCTATCGGCAAAGCCTATGAGACCAGGGAGAGGGGACAGAAGACCTCCAGTCAGGCACAGAACTGGATCGATGGAGGAGTCAAGTAGGCGTTTGTTTTTTTTTTTTTTTTACCATAATGCAGAGAATGCCTTAAGATAAAAAAAAAAACAAACTGGAGTTTAGGACCAACTTAATCGCAGGTCCATGCAGCATACCCCCCAAAAAAAGGAGGTTTATTGATAAAACATCAATTACAGTGACAAAGCTAACATATAAACACTCTGATGAAGACAGTAGGTGAAGTTGGGGGAGTTAAGAAAACTTGTTGCTTTTTCCTACATGAGAAAATAACAGGTTCATTATAATAAATGTACATTACTCTTGGTTTAGGTCATTACCCCAATTGTTTTCCTCATGTACAACAGGTTTTTCTTCTTCGACTACAACTTCAGGTTTAGGCTGTGCAGCTTCTTTTAACTGGATAACAAACAGTTTTACAACACATTAGGGAAAATAAATGCCTATACATGAAAACAAGCAATGTAAAAACAAACAAAAAACATATGAGTGTGTGTGTACATGTATTTTTGAAAAATAATAATAAAAACAGGATAGTAATAAAAAGTCTGCAGTCCTGGGAGGGGGGGGGGAAATAGATTAGATTATGGTCCTATTTGAAGATGTGAGACTTGTATAGGAATGCAAAACCCATTTAAAGCAGGAAATAGACTGCAGTGCTCAGCTGTGTATTCCGACAGCAGGGAAGTTTATAATAGTGTGGCGTGGAGGATCTCCCCCCTAACCCCCCCCCCCCCCAACCACCTTGAATGTGTGGATGTAGGAAAAGGGTCCGTCTTATTTGTTTAACTCACTGGTTGAACAAGAGAAATTGCCCGTGTATAGACAGTCTTATATGGCTGTCAGCCAGATTAGATATTGCATATTAGATCAGTAGGAGAACTTTTCAGCATCAGAGGAACACTAGATGCTTTCTTCTTATGGACTTAGCAGGACTGTATGTCATAGAAAACACATATCATTTACGAGCTATAGCACTAAAACAATTTAAAGAAGCATAAAACATGTCAGCATGTCTGCATTGAACAGCAAAGACATGCCTATACATACACGTTTACCGGACCACTACAAATAGGTCTACCTTGAATTCTGCTTGCCGTTGCACACAGTATCTGTCACTGCAGGATGGGTTAGGCTTCATGGACATAGTAGGGAAGTAATCCTGCATTGCATTGTATCCCAGGTAGAAGCTCACCGTGCCAAAGTTTAGGAGATATCTACAGAAAAAGAGCAGGTTACTGAGATCCTACAGGCAAGAGATGTATCAAGCTAGAACATTAAATGGCTATGTATATATCCTCATACTAAACCACATTTATGTGTAAAATCATAAATGGAAAAATATGTGAATTCTTTAGCATAAGTTGGAGGGTCCCCAGCACATTTGCAAGCTTGACCAGCAGGTACTTGTTACTAGTAGTGGACATGCATGCTTTGATTTCTTTATCCTATCAATGTGCAATTTAACGGCAATTTGCAAACAATCAAATAGCCATAACTTCCCTTTATCAATTTAGATTCAATTTTGAGTGGATTTAAACTGAGTTGATCAGCTAGGACAGAATATTATCGATTGTTTTGCATCAGTAGGCACAATACATTAGTATTTAGATTGATTGTACTATGAGGTTACATGTTGGAAATAGATGCAATTGATTTACAGTTGTAAGCTACACTCCTATCTGAAACTCAAAAGGTAAGGTCCTGCTGGTTCACTCCCTCTCCCAAGCCTGTAACCTTTGTTACAGGTTTTTTTTTTGTGTAGGGGGGAGTACCAAGGCGAGGATCATGTCCCTTGCCCTGACCCCTCCTGGGAGATTTCACACATCCCACGAGGCTGCACGATCATTCAAAAGCACCACACAAGCTTGCGCATCTACATTGATGAGGCAGCTGTGGTTTTCTCCCGTATTCAAGATGGCCAGGGACCCACAGAAGTAAGAAAACCCACCTTCAGGAAGACAGCGCTGGACACAAGGCACTGGTAGGTACCCGATTTTTAAAAGGCAGTAGCTGCTGCCTTAAAAATGAAAACAAATTAATGTGCTGCTTTAAGTAAATGCACATTTGTGTGTGTGTTAAAACATGCATTAAATGTGCATGTGTTTACGCACCACAGAGGTATAAAGGGGCCCTGAGTGTTTTAAAACCCTTGCTTCTAAGTACAGTTTGTAATTATATATGGAGAAAAGATTTGCCTGATACACTTGCGGACTTTGCGTCTTGTTTTGCAGTACTTTACAACACTTGTACTTTACTGCTCCTTGTGCCAATGCAAGCCTGTAAATGGCCTGACTCACTGAAAACAAACACTGAAAACACTTAGTGGCTGACATGTTAATTGCCAGTTGTTAAGCAAGGTGGTTTGATCGGCTGTATTGGAATACAGAGGTCCCTCTAAAATCTAATCTACAAAACTCAAACATGTAACAATCTGAAAGTCCTCAATTAAGTTAGTAACAAATAACCTCACAGGAGCTAAAAGGGTGCTAGCTCAGAGATGGCAGGCCTCAATAATCCCTTTTTCAGGAGGTCAAAAATCAGGTCTCTCAAGTTATGTTTTATGAAAAACCTACAGCAAAGCAAAATGATACTATGGCTAAACTTCAAAGAGTATGGACCCCAGAGATTGAGTCTTACATGTGTCCTACTTTTCCGATATTCTCTAACAGTATGACTGCTTTTGTTCTACGAAGTCAGCTCTATTGGAAGACCACCTATCATGCTTATATAAGCATGCTGAATCAGACTATAACCATTGCTCTCTTCCTGAAAAAAGGATCAAACAACCATTGCATGCACTTCCCTTGACTAGTTACCTCTTTTCCCCCCTATATCTACTCCTCTACTGGCCCCTTTCACAGCCTTGAATGCCCGTCCTCCAGAACTGTTTTTGTGTATTTCCCAAAAAAATGCAAGGATGCGGATTATTATTATTGCCATTTATGTATTTGTTTATAGTTGCACACCAATTTTCAGCCCCTCTAAAGGGTGTGTTTATAAAAAATTTGCAGAGATGTTTGTTCTGAGAAATGTACATTCATTCTCTGTGAATGTATGCACAATTGAATGTTACTAGGCTATTTTCTCTCCAGGTCAGATGTTCTTCATTCATAATGATAGTTTGAATCAGTAAAATACCACATTATGGCCAATAGATGGAGCTGATGATCATAGGAAATAAATATTTGACAAGAACAACAAAACATATTCAAAAAGGTAAACAATATGGTTATGACTCATACGTACTCACTGAAAATACACTGTAATTTTTTTTTAACATCTAATTTAACCTCTGGGGTCCTTTCTTGGTTGCTGTGCAAGTGTATGATAAAAAGTTATGTCCAGTTCTATGAAGTGACTTACTTGAGAACATTCTGCACAAGTATTCCAGCTACAACTCCCATTGTGGTGGGCAGACTGGCCGCACAGACACCGGCACGCTTCAAAGTCTTTTCATCAATGTTTGCTGCAACTACTAAAGGAGGTGCACACTGAAGAAGAGAATGGATCGGGATATACCAAATTATAAAATTATTGACACCTATTAATGTATAGTAGCCGGAACATAAAACCTGCTGTATACTATTCATCACCACTGTGTGAATATAGTTGTTACAATGTTTGGATAAATAAAAAAAAAAAAAAACAAATCTAGAAACAATACTTTTTTCTTACTGTATCAACCTTCAGTATAAAAAACAAAAAAAAAAAACAAAAAACAAAAGTTCTACATAATAAAGGACCTGATATGTGGAGCCGACATTTAATGGAACTAAACCCCTCATTTTAACCATTTCTGAAAAAAGTGACATACAAGGCATGCAGTGAATGATAACTGTCACAGTTGTTTGTGTTCTCAAACTATCTGTCTAGACATCAAATGGCTGGTGTCATAACTGATTACAAGTGCAGCACAGTGGCAACTGCAGATCCAACAGCATACAATGACAGCTTCCTTGGATGTAAATGATAGGAGGGGTTAGTTTTACTTTAATGACCTGCCTGATGTCAGGCATCTATGCTCAACTGCAATTGTTTTTTAAATAAATCCCTCAGATTATTTTTTATCAGTCTAGCCATCAGGTCTAAGAACTAGGAACACACATAGCTGCCCTTTCCAAATTCTCTGTTGCCAGATTACCGTTCTCATGGCAAGTCGGACTGCGGTCACCAAGGAGTTAATGCATTTTTATGTGATCTGTAGCAAGTTGGGAGGGAGATGGCAAAATGTTTATTTCCATTGTTTGATGGTTTTACTGCATCCTCTATGGTAATACATAGTACAAAAAAATCCCTAAAGGAGTATGAGCTACATAGGATTTTTACAAAAGGTACCACACCAGTAATACATTACTATATTAATTTTGTATTAAACATTTCCATAAAAATTCAAATGAATTAGAAAGACCCAAGTGTTGGGTTCAGATATGCATTTGGGCTAATATAAGTTTACACATGTTGATATTACAGTATTTGGCAACATACATTTCATTAGTGTTGTTCCTGATATATCATGTTAATAGGGACCTGGACAGAAGGACATCTTCGACACATTTTACAGGACAAAGCCTGCTTCTTCAGGAAGAACCAACTATTTTATGTCTGCTAGAAATACTGAGAGTATAAATAGCCATATAAAAACAAGACATCTGGATTGATGTCACCACAAATAGATGGACCCTTGGATGTCACACCTCCAAATGATCTGAAGGACTGAGTGTTAAATCCAAATGTTCTTTCAAAGACAGGAGGGAAGGATCTGGGTCCTTGCCATTATGATATATCAGGGATGACACGATTGAAATATATGCTGCCAAATGCTGTAATATCAAAATGTGTAAACTTACACCATGCCATATACATACATACCTTAGATTGTACGCCCCTTGAGGGTTAGGGACTGATGAGAATGTATAATATATAAGTAAAGCGCTGTGTAAATTGACGGCGCTATATAAGTATGATAAATAAATAAAATAAATAAATATCTGTACCCGACACTAGAGTCTTTTTAATGAATTTGAATTTTTATAGAGGTGTTTAATAAAATGGTAATATTTTAATGTATTACTGGTATGGTACCTTACCATACTTATTAAGGGTTTTTGTACTAGTAGCAAAAGGTATGTTTTTTTTGTATAATTTAATTTTAATTTTCAAGAAAACAATTAGAGAAGACAGTCAAGAATATGGAGTAGTATTGTGAATGACCTTATTGGGCTTTTATAATAAAAGTTAGTGTATATACCAGGAAAGATGCTTTCAAGATAGCTTTATCCACTGAGAAGAAGGAGTCAAAAAAGAAAAGCAGGTAAAAGAGGAAAAAAGACTGGAAGAAAATAAAGATGGACGGTAATATGAAGGGCTAATCACATCACAGCATATAAAAGGGGGTAATCACAAGGTCAGAATACATGTTATCCATTAATGTGTGATCAGAGCAAATGTGGAATAACAAGGGAATAATGGGAGAGATCCTCCCCCAGAATGAAGAGCAGATAATGTTAACCAACATCAATTCCTTAGATGCCAAAACATTTAATCTTATGCTGAATTCCAATCATTACATAATAAGAAATATGTGTGACATACTGCAAAGCAGGCTGTTTCTCCAGGTTTAACAAGCTGAATGTGTCCGGATACCGCATTTTCACTGACTCCAGATTCCATCCAGATTTGTTCCAGTTCATTGCATGCCTTCATGAAAGAAAGGTTATAATGCAGTATATTATAACTCGCAGTAAGCAATGAATTATTGTGCTGTTTGTGCTAGAATCATCATTTTCTTTATGTGGAGGAAATAACAAATACAATGTGAAGAACATTAAGATCACCATAAAACATAGGAAGACTCAAAGTAAAAAAAGGCCTTTATTTCTGTCTGCAATCCTGGGAGTAAGTCCCACTCACTTTCTCTTCTTAGGACAATGTTGTCACTAAAACAAGAAGTGTGAGAAAATCTCCCCAAGTCCTCATGCACACTTGACGTTTTTACAGCTGCTGTTTTTGGCTTTTGACTTTTTTTCTACAGCCAGTAATCTCCCCAGCATGTTGTTATCCTATGTGTCCATGCACACAGACTGTAATCAATGTTTTTTGGATGGAAAAAAAACCTCAGAACTAGTGGGTTTTTAGGAGTTTTTTTGCTGTAAAAACGCTCTAACGCTGAAATGTGCGGCAAAATGTGGTAAATTGCAGCAAAGCAGCGTTTTTGGACATTTTTTGACCAAAAAAAGAAAACTAAAAACCGCAAATGCGAAAAAAATGCGGCTAAACGCTAATACAAAACCACTGAAAAACGAATGTGACTTTACACAGCTAATGTTACCAACGTTATTAAAATGCCCAGTGTGCATGGAGCCCAATAGTGCTGCAGATAACAGTTAAAATTAACCAAAAGTTCTATCTTTTGTCTAAATGATCCAAAAAGAAAAAAAAAAAGGTTTTAAGAATACTGCCTAGAAGAACCAATGCTTGCTTTTTTATAGTATGTATAAGGTTTACACCTTATCATCAACCTGCTCGTATCAAACTAAACTATAGTGCATGTACTTTGGGCAATTGCAGGAAAGAGAACAATTAATCTGCATGACAGATGAACAAACGCTGCTCGAGCAACATTCGTTCATCTGTCACATTGGAGCCACTGGAAGCATTTCAGGATGCCAGCTCCCTCCTTCTGCATACCGGCGGGGTAACCTTTCTGTAGTCCTCACACAGAAAGAAAGAGTGAAAAAATGGCGTAATATTCTTTAAAAATTAGTATTTAGCCAAAACAGCAAAAATGAAATAAATTTTAAAAAAAAAAAGGAAGAGCTCTCCAGTCCCGCAGTTGAAGTATACTGCAATTACCACATGGTGTTTACATATTATGAATAAATGTAGAATGAAGCTGTAGTATAGACTGTATAATGTCCTTAGTGGTGCTATTATATAGAATATTGACAGAAGTAGTTCTTACAGTGTTAATTGCCATGCGCGCTTCAAAGTTGTCAACACAGCTCAATACGAGGTCTACTGGTTCCCCTTCTTTTAATCCACCTTTGCTGATTAAAGAAGAAAAAAAAAAAACAGAAAAAAAAAAAAAGAAACAAAAAACGTTTAAAAACACTTTTCCTGTGTATTAAAATTAAATTAAATATATACCAACAGCAAGGCCCTGTTCACAACTGGGAAATGTGAGGTGGTGCTTTTTTTGTGTGTTTGTCACCAAAGTAGCTCCTGCACCTTTGTTTGGCAGTGAGCCTTGCACATTTTTGCAAAGCGCATTTTCTCATGCAACTGCTACCCAAGTTTGGGGTGCCATTCCCGTAAAGACTGAGATTGAGCTCTGCAGTCACTTTTATAGAAGTTGTTTTCATATTTTGGGTCACAATCCTGCGCAATGATCTTTTGTCTCTTTCGGTCAACTGACTATGTCGACCTCGCTTATGATTATCAGACAATGTTTTCCCAGACACTGTATATACGTCTTCTTAACCTTTGATACTGTATCTCACGACACCGCAAATAAATTGGCAACGTCAGTGACAGATATCACCTGCTAAACAGGCACCAACAATGTGCCCTCTTTGAAGCTCAGTAAGCTCTGACATGACTCCGTATCATTAGCAGTGCACGCAGTGAATGATGAAAGTGAGGCTTCCCACCTGTTAGCTAGGTGTCTCATCACACAGCAGAAGCATTCAACATGAAACATGTCGCCACTTTCACATCTGCAAATCATGTGGTGTATTAATTTCTTTGTCTAACCACTGTACTTCTAAACCCAAGGACGAAACTGTGATATATTTCAGGTTACCATTCTTTGGATGTTGTGGCTGCATTAGCAGGCAAGTACAGAAAAATACCTGTAAATCCTGCCAGAAACCCAGTGTGATTGTAAATTCCTGTGCACTGAACTAAATATCACTGTGATCAGTCTTCCCAGCTATCAGCTGTGAACTACAGAACAGTTTTACTGGGAGATGACAAGAGGGGTAGGCGTCTATAGTCCCCTTCAGGACAGTAGCCAGGGGTGAAAACCTATGATAGAAAGTGCAAAACACCTAGTGAAAATAAAGTAAGAAAGACCTAAAAAAGAAAACTAATGCAGGCACTTCATCTAAGGACTGCTAGGATTCTATATATTACATTTGTTTTCTTGGGTTTAGATACTTTAACCACTTGCCCTCCTGAGGATTTACCCCCTTCCTGACCAGGCCATTTTTTGCGTTACGGTGCTACGTCACTTTAACTGACAATTGCGCGGTCATGCAATGCTGCACCCAAATGAAATCTACATTCCTTTTTTCCCACGAATTGAGCTTTCTTTCAGTGGTATTTGATTGTTTGTGCATTTTTGCGCTATGAAAGAAAAAAAAAAAAAAGCATATCCAGTAAAAAAATTAAAAAAAAAAATCAAATTTCGTCATAAATTTAGGCCAAATTGTATTCTGCTACATATCTTTGCTAAAAAAAAATCCCAATATATGTAAATTAATTGGTTTACGTGAAAGTTATAGCATTTACAAATGGCGGTATATATACTGGAATTTTTTTATTTTTTTTTACTAGTAATGGCGGCGACAAGCGACTTATAGCGGGACTGCGGTGGGCATTCTGACACTGGGAGGAACTGACTTGGTGTCACCAATACAGTGATCAGTGCTTAAAAAAAAAAAAAAAAAAAAGGCACTGAAACTGTACTAACGGCACTGGGCAGGAGGGGGTTTACATGAGGGGCAATCAAAGGGTTAACTGCATGCTGGTAGTGCTTTACTGGGGGGAGGTGTGTTGATGCTTCACTGTAAGCACACAGCTCTGGATGGCTGTGCTGTGCACAACCATCCAGAGCAGTGTGCCGAGCCGACAGGGAGGAGGACTGTTAATAAACAAAGCAGCCCTCTTCCCCGTCTGAGATCCTCGGTAATCACCGGCCAGGACCCGGTGACAGAAAGCAGCGAATGGCGGCACAGGTACGGCGCGCGCACCTCCTACCTGGAAATACTAAAAAAAAACACACACACACAATTTTGCACACCCCTGCCCCCCTGTAGCAGTATTTCTGCTATAGGGTGGCGGGGAAGCAGTTAAATGCTTTGGAATTATTGCAACTGCATATATAGAGGTAATCCCAAATTGTGTAGAATATTTTTGCATATATCTTCCGGATAAGTCCTGCACTTTCGGATAAAATCTGCACTTGATTCACAAGAAATAAGCCCTTATTACTTTTTGCTCCGACATATAACAGTGCCATGCAAATATCTATGCAAGTTAGATCTTTAAAGAAGTATGGCCAAAGTTTTGCCATACTTTTCCTGTGGGTCACAGGAGTGCACTTATGTGACCCAGTTTCAGCCAACAGCGGGCTAAAGTCTGATGTTGGCTGACATCACAGAGCCACTCCAGGCTCTGCAGGGATCCCGACACTAAAGTCAGGATCCGTCCAGATGTTTAACTGGCAGCTGGCTCAGCCTCTCAGCGCACCACAAGAGATAAAGAAGCACATACAGGGTCCTTACCTTATCCTGTCCATAAAATGCTGGAAATTGTCCATGGTTGTTATGTTGTAGTTGTGAACTTCAAATTGGACATCAGGGTTAATGTTCCTATGAAAGAGTAAAAATGTGCCCTTGTTTAACACTAAACATGCAAATGATGCAAATCACAAATTATTTCACTTATTCATTTGCTTTAGGAAGTTTTTCATTGATATTGCAAAAACAAGAAATCCCATCAAAGTGATTATGTAGGACATTATGAAAATCTAAAATTATATACACACAGCATCTCCTACTGCAATCTAGGAGGTGAAAGAAAATGGCATGCTGATAAAAGTGAAGTTACTTTTGAACTCTATGAGAAAATGACAATCCTCTTCTAGTCAGATACATAGATAAAAAAAGTTTATCAAACATTAATCACACTTTCCTAGCTGCTGCCACTTCTTTCCAAAGTTCTGAGTGTATAGAGTCCTCCTGATACAGTCGCTTGATTGGTTCCCACATTGTAAAACAGAAAAACTGCACAGCATAGCACTGAGCCAATCAAGTCCCAGGAAATGACTTATTTAGTTCTTGTATAGTTCTATACAGTAACAATATACAAGCCATGTTTCAATTTGTTGCCAATTTTAGAAAATCGCAGCAAGCATAAGGCTGAACTAGAAAGGAAATTTGTTAATACTAAATTACACAGGACTTGAGTAACAACTGCAGATTAAACAAAATGCCAAAGTCAATTTAGACTTTAGAAAAAAACTTTAGCAAAAATTTAGAAAAAAACTCTAAGCTGTCCATCTTCCATAGAGAAGAACTGAAGAGAAGACTAGGTAAGGATAGATATACTGTACATTATACAAGACCAGGAGTTGTGCTACACATAGCGGTGTACAGCATGTGGAAAAGACATCCATTATGTCTTTAGGTGGGCTTTGGTTGACAGGATAGAATGAAACTGGAGCCCTTGTGCTATGCCATACCCCATGTAGTGTACAATTCTGTGAATTATCCATCCATACTCTGCACTGATGATTGCCAAATAGTTGTATACAGTTTGGTATAAATGGATTTATAACCACTTGCAGACCGGATGGCCCATACAGGCACAACAATGTATCTGTATGTTGCTGGCCTCTTCCAGGTACAGGGTGCACAAGTGCCCCCACCCATTGCTATCTGCTAAAGTTTGTACAAAGAAGTGCAGAAGTTTGTCTGCAGGTCGCAGCCAATGATTCATGGCCGGGACCTGCTGATCGGCTGTGTCCAGTCACAGTGATGAGCCCTGTGTTGACAATCAACACATGGCTCTGCACAGAGGGAACAATCTGTTTCTTTTCCCTGAAAAGCAGGGAGAAGAAGCAAAGCAATTTTTGTAAATAGCAGCACACATTAGAAAAATTAACACTTGTTAGACATACACTTGATTACCCAAGATGCTAAACCCTTCCCACTTTCCAGCCAGTGTCACTAGTACAGTGACAGTGTATAGTATTATCACTGATTACTGCCACTGGAGTTGTCAGTGAGTCAGTTCCCATCCAGTCAGTGTAAGACTACCCGCCGTACTAATCACAGTCCCACTAGAAGTCACTGATCACTGCCATTAGTAGAATAATACAAAAAAATTCCATTATATACAGTTTGGTCCATATTTATTTGGACACAAGCACAATTTTAGTTTTTTCAGGTATTTACCAAAACATATTCAAGCTATAGTTATGTAATGGATATGGGCTGAAAGCGCACACTCTCATGTTTAATTTGAGGGTATGTACATCCAAATTGGAAGAGGGTTTAGGAGTTACAGCTCTTAAGATTTGCCATCCCCCCTTTTTCAAGGGACCAAAAGTAATTGGATAATTGAATCAAAAGCTGTTTGTGGGCTACTCCTTCATTATTTCTTCATCAATTAAGCAGGGAAAAGGTCTGGCGTTGATTTTAAGTGTGGTATTTACATTTGGAATCGATTGCTGTGAACCTACATCATGTGTTCAAAGGAGCTGTCCATGCAAGTGAAACAGGCCATTGTAAGGCTTCAAAAACAAAACAAATCCATCAGAGATATAGCAGCAACATTAGGAGTGGCCAAATCAACAGTTTGGTACATCCTGAGGAAAGAAGAATGCACTGGTGAGCTCACAACATAAAAAGGCATGGACGTCCATGGAAGACAACAGTGGTGGATGATCACAGGATCCTCTCTATGGTAAAGAAAAACCCATTCACAACATCCAGACAAGTGAAGGACACTCTACAGGAGGTGGGCGTATCATTGTCAAAGTCTACAATCAAGAAAAGACTTCACGAGAGCAAATACAGAGGGATCACCACAAGGTGCAAACCATTTATACGCCTGAAGAATAGAAAAACCAGATTAGACCTTGCCAAAAAAAAATCTAAAAAAGCCAGACCAGTTCTGGAAAAGCATTCTTTGGACAGATGAAATGAAGATGAATCTGTACCAGAATGACGGGAAGAAAAAAATGTGGAGAAAGCTTGGAAGAGCTCATGATCCAAAGCACACAATGTCATCTGTAAAACATGGTGGCGGCAGTTTGATGGCATGGGAATGCATGGCTTCCAGTAGCACTGGGTCATTGGTGTTTATTGATGATGTGACAGAAGACAGAAGCAGCCGGATGAATTTTGCAGTGTTTAGAGATATACTGTCAGCCCAGATTCAGCCAAATGCAGCAAAGTTGATAAGATGGCGCTTCACAGTACAGATGGACAATGATCCAAAACACACTGCAAAAGCAACCCAGGAGCTTTTGAAGGAAAAGAAGTGGAATATTCTGCAATGGCCGAGTCAATCACCTGATCACAACCCAATTGAGCATGCATTTCACTTGCTGAAGGCAAAACTAAAGGCAGAAAGACCCACAAACAAAGAACAACTGAAGACAACTGCAGTTAGAGTCTGGCAAAGCATCAGAAAGAAGGAAACCCAGTCTTTGGTAATGTCCATGGGTTCCAGACTTCAGGCAGTCATTGCCAGTAAAGGATTCTCAACAAAATATTAAAAATTCATATATTTTATTTATGATTATATTCAATCGTCTAATTACTTTTAGTCCCTTGAAAAATGGGGGGGTTGGCTATTCTTAAGAGCTGTAATTCCAAAACCATTCCTCGAATTTGGATGTACATACCCTCAAACTAAACATGAGAGTGTGCCCTTTCAGCCTACATACATTATATAACTAAAGCTTGAATATGTTTTTGTAAATACCTGAAAAAAACTAAAATTGTGCCTGTGTCCAAATATTTATGGACCTAACTGTATACCATAGCTTGTAGACACTATAAACTTTCACTCAGTTCATTTAATATACACTTATTGGGATTTGTTTCGGTTTTTTTTTTCACCAAAGACATGTAGTAGAATACAGTTTGGTCTAAATTTATGAAGAAAATTGATTTTTTAATTGGGTATGTTTTATAACAGAAAGTAAAAATATTTTTTTTTCAACATGTTCGGTCTTTTTTTTGTTTATATAATAAATAATAAAAAAAACTCAGTGGTGATAAAATACCACCAAAAGAAAGCACTGTTTGTGTGAAAAAAATGATATAAATTTCCCTTGGGTACAGCGTTGCATGATCATGCAATTACCAGGTAAAGGAACAAAGTGCTGAATAGCAATATATGGCTTGGTCATGAAGGAGGGAAAACTTTCCAGAGCTGATGTGGATAATATTGGACTATATTTGCAAAATACAATACACCAGTGGTTCTGGATGTGTATGTGGCCAATAGAGCATAAAGTAATGATTTGCATGGCTTCATCCATTGTCCTAAAAAGAATAATCCTCTTATTCTTTAGATATGTGATTGATAGGTGGAGACATGTACTGTAAATACCTTCTGTTTTAACCACTTTCCCTCCTGAGGATTTACCCCCCTTTCTGCCCAGGCCATTTTTTGCATTGCGGCGCTGCGTTACTTTAACTAACAATTGCACGGTCACGCAACGTTGCACCCAAATGAAATTACGTCCTTTTTTTCCCACAAATTTAGCTTTCTTTTGCTGGTATTTGATCACATGTGCGCTTTTTATTTTTTGAGCTATAAGCAAAAAAAGACTGACAATTTTGAGAAAAAAACAAAAAAACAAAACTATATTTTGGACCTTTTGCTATTAAACATGTCCAGTATAAAAAAAAAAAAAAAAAAATCAAATTTAAGCCAAAATATATTCTGCGACATGTCTTTGCTAATAAAAAAATCCCAATACGTGTAAATTCAAAGTTCAGTGCCGAGTGGTTCCCCGCTGCACTGTTAATACAGGAGATCACTCACTCGGTATTGGCGCCATTCACAGAATGCCTTGCATTTTTCTCAGTTAATGCAGAGCGTTATACAATTGGACATGGTTGGACATCATGACATCACTGTTCTGCTTCTTCCATTTGTCCAATTTGAGAATGTTTTGCATTTATTGAGAAAATGCACAATGTTTTCTGAATGGCGACCGTGCTGAGTGAGCGACCCTCTGTGTTCACTATGTAGCAGGGCAGCCACTCAGCACGAGACCCAGAAGTTAGTGGAGATCACTGTAGTAGCCATGTCTTCTACAGTATCTTTCAGTTTCCACAGGGTAAATTTACACAAACCTTTATGTGCATTATTTTTATATATTTTCATACTACAACAAATGTCTGTGACCACACATGCACGTTGATTTTTCGTTCAGATAAGAAGTGACAGAAATTTTCACCCTTCTTCATTTGTTCAGCTTACTACAGTTCGTAGATAACCCCATCAACTGTTAGAAAATTAAACAAACATTTAAAAAACAATAGTTTTCTAGTGAAAATCCAATGTGGACTTGGAGCCATACAGTATATGCCACCACAACAGCCAATACAGAGACTAAGGGGTTGATTTACTAAAATTGGAGCGTGCAAAATCTGGTGCAGCTCTGCACAGGAACCAATCCGCTTCCAGGTTTTATTTTCAAAGCTTAACTGAACAAGCTGAAGTTAGATGCTGATTGGCTATCACAGCCTTTTTTAACCAGGGTGCTTTCAGGTTTCTACAGGGGTGCCTTTGAAAAATGCTTAAAAATTGCCCAAAAATTGTATACAAGTCAGTGGATCAAGCCTGCCTTTTACTCATCGTTACAACCGTCCAGCTGCTGACGTTCTAACATCCAATGATGTCATCGGTTGTTAAGAAGGATGCCGGGCGCCTGCACAGCATCCTTGTTTGCACTCCCCTGCAATCAGAATAGTTGAGTGAGGGACAGAAACACCGAAATACTAGTCAGTACCAGTGTGTAAAGGTGTATTTTCTTTGGAAGAATAAATCCCCTCTTACATTGGGTGTCCCACATGTGGGGATGTTGCTGCGTTATTTAAAACTATTAGTTTAGTTTTTCACATTTTGGAATGGGGTGCTTTGAGATTTATGCATCATTTTAAAGGGTGCCTTGACTGAAAAAAGGTTGGGAAACACTGGGCTACCACGCACAGCTGGACCGACCAGATTTTGCCCTCTCCAGTTTTAGTAAATCAATCCCTACGTATCAGGTATAAGCTATAAGCACAAACAAAAGTCAGAAAGTGTTCACTGTAAAACAACCACTGTAAGAGTAGATACCTCAGTGTGTGCTCCGCGGCTTCCACTTTGCTGAGACCTGCCTGGTGTGGCTGGAAAAAGAGTCTGTTCATGTTTGCCAACTCTACCTTATCATAGTCAAACAGCAGCAGCTGCAATGAAACCCAGAATAAATATCAAGACGGTCTGAAATTTAACATCACGGGAAATCACAGTAAAATGTAACAAAACAAATAAATCTTAGAACCAAGTAATATCAAAGTATAATTCCAGGTTTCATATCACATAATATAGTTTGTCTGGGCCAAGCTGGCCAAACTATTTCCATTATAAGACTATACAGTCACCGCGTGTACTCTAATAGACTGCAGTAGTATTAGTTACATACTGTAAATGGGGCTGTGTTCCAGGAGCAGTACGGATAACTACCTGTCTGCTGCCAGAAATAAAGAGAGTTGGACTGAGTGCTTTTCCACCATTTAGGAGAAGCCTTGTATTTTGATCAATATATACACAAGACTTCATCTGCCAAAGTGGAAATTATTAATAAAAATACAAGGCATCTCACTTAACTTTGGAAGCAGACAAGAAGTTGCCCCCACTGCTGCTGGAACACAAGCCTCCTTACTGTAAGCAGCTAATGCTACTACAGTCTATTACATCAGACACAGCGACCACATAGTTATGCAATGGAAATAGTTTGTTCGAATCAGTTTGGCCCAAACAAACTATTAAAAATGAAATTAAACTTGAAGTTTTATTTTAAGAGTTCATGCTTAACTTGCTTGCTGTTGTTCCCGGTTGCTTCCACTTTGTTATAATACCACTAATAGTTGACCTTGGAATACTTTGTAGCAAGGAAATTTCACGTGTATAGTGTATGTTTTAGTATATACACACACATATACACTAAATGCAAGCTTTACAGTGGTTTTAAACCTTAGACATAAAATATAAACAAATCATATCCTGCTATAGTGTGTACTTGTTTCAGTTAGGAGCACTAAGTGTCATTTCTGTCTGCTGCCTAGTTCCTCTGCTATCAGCATGAATAGCTTCTGACAAGTTTTACTGACACCAAGAGAAAAATGGTGAGGGGGAAGGGATCTCTAGCAGATTGACAGTCTCAGCTCCTGTGAGCTGTGTGGAGGGGTTGTGTCTCTTCCCTCCAAGCAGCTCTCTTCACTGAGCTCTGCACAGTGTAACTTAGGCTCTCCATCCCTTTATTCTGAACTCTTAGACAAGCTTTAAAATTCAGCAGTTTGAATAGATGTAGAAAAGAGAAGACTGCAGATAAACAGGGACTGAAAACTTATGTAGGAGGATTTTTGTTATCTCTGTGTATCACACGGAATGGCCAGTCACTTCACTAGGTATATGTTAGGGTTTACAACCACTTTAAGCTACTAATATAATAATCAATTTCCTCTGACTTTAGTTTAGATATAAACATCCATGTTAGTAAAACAATTTATTTCCTGAAGCGATTGTATACACTATTTTGTGGTTAATGGACAACTCCATCTCAATGTTTCTAGCTGAGATTTCTCTCAACAAAGCTCTCTGAAAGTCCTAATCAATATACTCCCATCAGCATCTCTTTGTGTTGGGATGAGAACATTTAAATATTCAAGACAAAGAAAATACTCCATAGAGCAAAGCTGAAATGTCAGATACAGGAAAATAACATATACATTTTAAAACACAGGACAAAAAAGGTTTTTATAAAACATGAATGTGTTTTCACTTTCAGTCATCTATAGTGAAAGACTCAAAAGAAATAAAATTTTACCTGCTGGTCCGGTGGATTCATGTACAAACAAAAACGTGCATACAAAAACAATATGCAGAAACATTTGACAGAAAAGCACTTCTTGTCTTGTATTTTTGGCTGTGACTCCCACTCCTGTATGAAGCCCAATTTATGGGTGTTCCTTTGGGGGGGTTTTCTTGCAAAGCCCACTAGCTACCAACCCCTCCTGCTATCATTACTCTATCCCTCCTCCTGCTGCCAATCTCATTCTTCTACTCTTCATTCTGAAAATCTGTATTCAGTCCCCTTGCCTCCTGCAGCCATTGCTTTCCCCCTCCTCCCACTACTTATCTTGTTCTCCCTTTTACTGTCATTCCCCCCTGCATAAGTACTGACAGTGCTCGTCTCGACCATACATCTGCTGTCCTAGAAAAGTGCTGTCACTAATTAAATATTCATCTCCTTGTCAGCAGCATGGTTGGACAGGGTTATGGTAAGGGACTGTGCTACTGGCCATACTAACGTAGGATCTAGAACACCAAGAAAGACAGGGACAGGAGTAGCGATGCAAAACTTGGAAAGACTTCTTTTTGTTTAGCAAAACTGAATGCAGAACTTTTAAAATTGTTAAATAATCAAATTGGTATTACCTTACCAATGCCACATCTTGTTAGCATTTCTGCAGTGACACTGCCAACTCCACCAACACCAACCACAGCCACCGTGTAACTGCGAATTTTCTAGGAAAGAAATGGTTGAGATGAATCAAATTGGAATTGTTGGTATCACCATCATCTACATAACCCAGATATGATTATTGTACAGAAAACAGTCAGTTTACACTTCAAAAGGATAAGTTCACCTTTTAACAAAAAAATTAGAAAATTGACATTTTTCTTGCATCTACTCAGCAGATCGCTGGTGCCAGGCAGATCTCCTGCAGACTGTCAAGTGTGTCCGTGTGCTCGTACTTCATAAGAGCAGGCAGTTTAACACGGGACAGGAAGAATTAATAAGCTACAACAGCTCTCATTGAGAACTACAAGCCAACATCTGTAAAGGATGTCAGGACTTAATAGTTTCCCATTCACAGAACTCTGTGAATGAATGACGCAGCTGGGCGAGCAGAGCCTACGTTTTTTTAATTTTTTAATTGTGACAGCTAGCAGGGGCAGAATATTACCTGCTAGCTGTCACAATGGGAGATTGGGGGTGGGGGGCGAGAGCCACAGTAACATGTTACACCCTGAATATGGGTAATATGTGAACTTATTCTTTAATATTCAGTTTTCTATCCTACCTCATAATCTTCCACAATTCCCATCCGTTTCAAAGCCATTAACCGACTGAAAAAAAAAAATATATATATAAATTAGAAATTCAGCAGAGTAAGTTATATGGAATACATATTCGGAAATGATTGGGAAATTCTGAATGAGAGAGGTAAGAAAAAAAAAAAAAAAAAGGTGACACCCTTGAACTTAGGGTGAGAGGGACAGAAAAAAAACAAGGTGAACCAACCCATGCCCCCCCCCCCCCCCCCACTCCCCAGATTCTGTGGTGAGAATGAAAAAAAACAAAAAAAAAAATAAAAAAACACAAAACTCTTTGGATCTCAGGAGGAAAGGGTTAAAAAACAGGATGACCCCAGGATCTTAGGGTAGGAAAAGAAAAAAACAAGGATTTCAGAGAATGGTTAAAAAAACTTTTAGGGTAAAGAGGGCAAAAAAAAAAAAAAAAAAAAAACGACAGGATGAACCCCTGGATCTCAGGATGCCTGGAGTACAAGAACAAGATGATTATTTTTATAATACAGGATTTATATAGCGCCAACAGTTTGCTCAGCACTTTACAATATACCGGGAGACAATACAGTTCAATACAAGAGGGAAAGGAGGGCCCTGCTCCTTGGTGCTTACAATCTAGGAGGGAGGGGCTAGTTGTACAAAAATTAGTAACTGTGGGGGATGGACTGGTTGGAAGAATAGAAGATTCCATTATTAGCTGAAGGCAAGATAGGCTTCCCTGAAGAGAGAGGTTTTCAGAGATCACCTAAAAGTGAGCAGAGTAGGCGATAGTCGGATAGATTGGGGTAGAGAGTTCCAGAGGATGGGGGAAGCTCTGGAATAGTCCTGGAGACGAGCATGGGGGAGGAGGAGACAAGGGAGCTAGAAAGCAGGAGGTTATGAGATGAGCGGAGAGTACGGTTTGGGTGATATTTGGAGACAAGATCGTTGATGTAATTTGGGGCAGAGTTATAAATGGCTTTATACGTTATTGTTAATATTTTGAATTTTATCCATTGGGCAATGGGAAGCCAGTGGAGGGATTGGCAGAGAGGGGTGGCAGATACAGAACGGTTAGTTAGGTGGATGAGTCTGGCAGCAGCATTCATGATAGACTGAAGAGGGGATAGCCTGCGATGAGGTAGGCCAATGAGGAGGGAGTTACAATAGTCAAGGCGAGATATAACAAGGGAGTGAATAAGTGATCCCCTGGATCTCAGGGAGAGAGGGGTAAAAAAAAAAAAAAAAAAAAAAAAAAAAAAAAAAAAAACGGGGTGACCCCTGGATCTGATGGTGAGAGGGATAAAAGAAACCCCCCAAAAAAATCAAAGTAAGATGACCCTCAGGATTTCAGGGTGAAAGGGGCAAAAAACAGGGTGACCCCCATGATTTCAGGGTGAACGGGCCAAAAACAGGTTGACCCCCCCCCCAAGGATTTCAGGGTGAAAGGGGCAAAAAAAAATGGTGATTTGAGGGTTAACGTGGCAAAAAATAGGGTAAGCCCCAGCATTTCAGGGTGAAAGGGGCAAAAACAGGGTGCCCCCCCCAATCAAAGTGTGATGGGAAAAAAAAGGGGTGACCCCTGGGTGTCAGGGTGAGAGTAAAAAGCAGGATGTCCCCCCCAGGATCTCAGGGTGATGTGCCCTGGCAGTGTCTGTGATATTATGGGATGTCCAGTCACCTGTATGGGTTGGAGTCCACCACCTCAGCACTCATCTTGTCTATCTTGCTCCTGTGTGTGTCCTGAGTGCTCCTCACTCTCCTCAGCTCCTCTTCCAGTTCTCTGATCCTGGAGTGCAGCTTCTCCACCTCACTGCCAGAAGCCATGTCTGCTCGCTGCTCCTCCACACACTGCCACACCCGGGGACTCACAGACTGGTGTCCCCTGCCAGCCCTGGGCTTGCTGGGTTCTGTAGTTCCCTGCCAGCTGCTGCTGTACAGTGTAAGCCGGCTACAAGTGCTTCCTAAAGACACGTCACAGCCAGGAAGAGGTGTGTGCACAGCTCCTCTGTCTGAGGTAATAGTCACTCTCCTACTCCCTGTCTATGGGATTACAGAAGCCGGTATTTCATATGTGTTACCACTTAATGCAACGTCTACCATTACAATAAACCCCACAACTATTAATGCGCGCTATTAAGAATGACTGCAATAAAAGGCAGCTGCCAGCTTCCAATATGGCCGCCGAAGCCTCCTCCCTGTGTACAGTAGTACCAGAGTTGCGTTTTTTCCGTTCCGTTTTTTTTTTTTTTTTTCGGCGAGCTTTATTAACAGCCGTTGTAGAGATATAAAAATGTGTTAAAGGTAAAGAGTTACAATAACAGTGATCAGAGGAGGACTTTACCCTGAGTTCTGTTGAGGAGTAAGATGGCGAAGGTGGAGGCTGACACCAGTGAAGTGAGAGCTAAACACAGGTTTGATGAGCAGAGATTGGATGGATACCTGAGCACCCACCTGCCAGGCTTCAGCTCCAGCCCAGGGGAACCCCTCATTGTCAGACAGTACAGGTAAGGACGGTGCACGGCTCTGCTCCTTGTACCCGTCATAGTATTACAGGGGGAATAGTCCAGCAATGTCTTCTACCTGGAATGTCACACTTTATAACACTGACTGAGGATGGCAGAAGAACAGAGAACTGTGTGCTAGATGTGACATCCACCATGGTTACAGACAGGGCTGTTTTTTTCTCAGAGAATAGGTTCAGGTCATCCCCCTTCCGAGGCAACCTTGTCTCCAATCCCCACCCACCTCTGAGCACCATCCCTTGTCTCCACCCACCTCTGAGCACCATCCCTTGTCTCCACCCCCCACCCACCTCTGAGCACCATCCCTTGTCTCCAGTCCCCACCCACCTCTGAGCACCATCCCTTGTCTCCAATCCCCACCCACCTCTGAGCACCATCCCTTGTCTCCACCCACCTCTGAGCACCATCCCTTGTCTCCAGTCCCCCACCCACCTCTGAGCACCATCCCTTGTCTCCACCCCCCCCACCCACCTCTGAGCACCATCCCTTGTCCCCACCCACCTCTGAGCACCATCCCTTGTCTCCAATCCCCACCCACCGCTGAGCACCATCCCTTGTCTCCACCCCCTCCCCACCTCTGAGCACCATCCCTTGTCTCCAATCCCCACCCACCTCTGAGCACCATCCCTTGTCTCCAATCCGCACCCACCTCTGAGCACCATCACTTGTCTCCAATCCCCACCCACCTCTGAGCACCATCCCTTGTCTTTACCCCCCCCCCCCCCACCTCTGAGCACCATCCCTTGTCTCCAATCCCCACCCACCGCTGAGCACCATCCCTTGTCTCCAATCCCCACCCACCTCTGAGCACCATCCCTTGTCTCCACCCACCTCTGAGCACGATCACTTGTCTCCAATCCCCAATCCCCACCCACCTCTGAGCACCATCCCTTCTCTCCACCCCCCACCCACCTCTGAGCACCATCCCTTGTCTCCTCCCACCTCTGAGCACCATCCCTTGTCTCCACCCACCTCTGAGCACCATCACTTGTCTCCAATCCCCACCCACCTCTGAGCACCATCCCTTGTCTCCAATCCCCACCCACCTCTGAGCACCATCCCTTGTCCCCACCCACCTCTGAGCACCATCCCTTGTCTCCAATCCCCACCCACCGCTGAGCACCATCCCTTGTCTCCACCCCCTCCCCACCTCTGAGCACCATCCCTTGTCTCCAATCCCCACCCACCTCTGAGCACCATCACTTGTCTCCAATCCCCACCCACCTCTGAGGACCATCCCATGTCTCCACCCCCCCCACCTCTGAGCACCATCCCTTGTCTCCAATCCCCACCCACCGCTGAGCACCATCCCTTGTCTCCACCCCCCCCACCTCTGAGCACCATCCCTTGTCTCCAATCCGCACCCACCTCTGAGCACCATCACTTGTCTCCAATCCCCACCCACCTCTGAGCACCATCCCTTGTCTTTACCCCCCCCCCACCTCTGAGCACCATCCCTTGTCTCCAATCCCCACCCACCGCTGAGCACCATCCCTTGTCTCCAATCCCCACCCACCTCTGAGCACCATCCCTTGTCTCCACCCACCTCTGAGCACGATCACTTGTCTCCAATCCCCAATCCCCACCCACCTCTGAGCACCATCCCTTCTCTCCACCCCCCACCCACCTCTGAGCACCATCCCTTGTCTCCTCCCACCTCTGAGCACCATCCCTTGTCTCCACCCACCTCTGAGCACCATCACTTGTCTCCAATCCCCACCCACCTCTGAGCACCATCCCTTGTCTCCAATCCCCACCCACCTCTGAGCACCATCCCTTGTCTCCACCCACCTCTGAGCACCATCCCTTGTCTCCACCCACCTCTGAGCACCATCCCTTGTCTCCCCCCCCCCCACCCACCTCTGAGCACCATCCCTTGTCTCCACCCACCTCTGAGCACCATCCCTTGTCTCCAATCCCCACCCACCTCTGAGCACCATCACTTGTCTCCACCCCCCCACCCACCTCTGAGCACCATCCTTTGTCTCCACCCCCCACCCACCTCTGAGCACCATCCCTTGTCTCCAATCCCCACCCACCTCTGAGCACCACCCCTTGTCTCCAATCCCCACCCACCTCTGAGCACCATCACTTGTCTCCACCCCCCCACCCACCTCTGAGCACCATCCCTTGTCTCCAATCCCCACCCACCTCTGAGCACCATCCCTTGTCTCCAATCCCCACCCACCTCTGAGCACCATCCCTTGTCTCCACCCACCTCTGAGCACCATCTCTTGTACCCACCTCTGAGCACCATCCCTTATCTCCAATCCCCACCCACCTCTGAGCACTATCCCCTTTCTCCACCCACCTCTGAGCACCATCCTTTGCCTCCAAACCCCACCCACCTCTGAGCACCATCCCTTGTCTCCAATCCCCACCCACCTCTGAGCACCACCCCTTGTCTCCACCCCCCCAACCACCTCTGAGCACCATCCCTTGTCTCCACCCATCCCTTATCTCCAATCCCCACCCACCTCTGAGCACCATCCTTTGTCTCCACCCCCCCACCCACCTCTGAGCACCATCCCTTGTCTCCACCCACCTCTGAGCACCATCTCTTGTACCCACCTCTGAGCACCATCCCTTATCTCCAATCCCCACCCACCTCTGAGCACTATCCCTTTTCTCCCACCCACCTCTGAGCACCATCCTTTGCCTCCAAACCCCACCCACCTCTGAGCACCATCCCTTGTCTCCAATCCACACCCACCTCTGAGCACCACCTTGTCCCTTGTCTCCCCCCCCCCCCCACCCACCTCTGAGCACCATCCCTTGTCTCCACCCCCCACCCACCTCTGAGCACCATCCCTTATCTCCAATCCACACCCACCTCTGAGCACCATCCCTTATCTCTACCCCCTACCCACCTCTGAGCACCATCCCTTATCTACACCCCCCCACCTAACTCTGAGCACCATCGCTAGATTGTAAAATAGAAATTATTTGGGATTATAGCTGTTTTCTATGGAATGACAAAGCTGAATGATACAATGGAATGTCCATAGAGTATAATAAGGAGCAAAATGTGACCTGACCAACATACATACCAGATAAATCCTTAGCAGACTTATGCCCCGTACACACGGTCAGAAAATCGGATGACAAAAATCGCTTTCGGAGGGATCGTACAAAAATCTGGCAGCTTTCAACAGACGAACACGACAGTTCATGCGGCAATATCTGAAGGAACAAGCACAAAAAATATTTCTCGTGCGATAACCATGGCAAACGATTTTTGTTTTAATAAGTAAAGTATTTATCCGAAAAAAATTGAGAGACCAAGACCACGCATGCTCGGAAACAAAATAATACATTACAATACATTACATCACTTCCGAAGTTGTATTCTGTCATAGAAGAATTTTTGTAACTTTAGTAACCTCTTAATTTTTTACATGAGACCAGCATGCAACCAAAACGATAAGTCATCCGATTATCTGATCGTGGAATTACTTTACAAGTTCAATGGTGATGTTTAACATTGAGATGAAGTGGGACCACTATTGTTTTCTATGGAATGACAAGAGTGAAAGACAAAAGGGAATGACCATAGAATATAATGGGAATCAAAATATGAATTTATTTCTGGGCAAATATGAGAAACACAGCAATTATAAACATCGCCAAATTGGAGAGTATTTATTTAATATGTCAAATGGTTCTGATGTCAAATCACATCTTGCTTCCCATGATAATCTATGGACATTCCTTTGTGTCATTTATCTGTCCTTCTATTCTGTCCTTCTATAGAAAACAGCTATAATCCCAAATAATTCCAATCTTAAAGTCTGCTACTCGGGGAACACCTGTGGTAAAGGTTAAATTGCTGTGTTTTTTCAGGTTTGTCTGCAAATAAATTCATATTTTGCTTCTCTTCCCATTATATTTATGGGCATTCCCTTCTGTCATCCACCTTTCTCATTCTCAGAAAGCAATGATAATCCTGCTTAATCTCAATTTTCCCACCTGACCTTGCACTACACACTAATTTCATTGTAAAATCTCGAACTGAATTCTAATTTCAGTGCCTGATCTCGCAGTGCACACCGATTTCAGAGTCTCATCTTGCACTGCACACTGATTTCAGTGCATGATCTTTCACTGCATGCTGATGTCAGTCCATGAACTTGCACTGTGCACTTATTTCAGTGAATGTTCTCGCACTGCACAGTGATTTCAGTGTATAATCTTGCACTGCACACTGGTTTCAGTCCATGATCTTGCACTGAACACCGATTTTACTGAATAATCTCACACTGGCTTCAGTGTATGATCTCGCACTGCACACTGATTTTAGTG